ACCAAAAATGCATGTGTTAGTTCATCATGTCCCAGAATTTATTAGGATGACGAATACTCCACTGGGCTATTATTCTGAACAGGCATCAGAACAATGCCATCATGCCTACAAACAGCACAGTTTACATTATAATTTAAACCATAATTATAAGAATTATCTTTACAATTTGCTTAAAAGCGTTTGTTCTTTTAATAGTAAACATATTTAAGTCTGATTTTGATTTGTAGTTGTTTATTTAGTAAGCATTTAGGTAGAGTACTTGTTAAATATTTTCTTAATTCTTAATCATAAATTAAAATTAGGTACTAGTATTTACAGTTTGGTGCTAATGTTGTAATGTACGAATTAAATACGAAATTTTTTTTTATATAATTCTGAGTTTGAGGACTGTATTTACAATATGGCCAACGAATTCGCAAGCGAAGCGGTGTGGTGTGACAGTTAGTATACTAACTTAATATATTAAAATAATCAAAATATTGACGATATTGTTTATTTTACATATTTATAGGTTATAAACTAACCAAATGTTGTAGTTCACAACATCATCTCAAGAGAAATAAAATAAAATATAGTATTTTAATAGGTCATTTTTACAAGTCTAGCAAAAAAAACATTTTCTACAATTTCTCAAAAAGGGCTCGATAGAAGATTCTAATTTTTTTTGATAATAGTAGTAGATCTTATATGTATTGCAAAAATCCGAGTTTTAAATCATGTATATTTTTTTCTTGAAAAGGCCCTCTAGGCTAACTGTGTGGTGTAAATTTTTTAGAATTGTCCATGAAATGTTGTCTACGCCGGGGGCGGAATTCTTTTGGTTTGAAAGTGCTTCGAAATAGTTTTCTTCATCAATTTTGTTGTACAATCAAGTTTGTTGTACAATCAAGTTGTACCAAAGTTTTGTCTGTTGAATTGTGGATATTCTTTCGTTTGGAATTGTTGTTTTAAGTGTTTTGCAAATATATGTGCTTTCTCCATGTCAGTCTCATATTCCTCGTCATTTTCGGTAATTGTTGGTATTCTATTTAGTTGCTTGTGTCTGCTTAGCTTTTTATCTCAAGATGGAAATTTTTTCCACGTCTTTTGTTTATTTCCTTGCAGGCCTCAATCCATTGATATTATTGAATGAGTCAATGTGGTCATTACATATTGGGATATCATTAATTGTGCTAAGATACTTTAAAACTTAATCCTTAATCTTATCCAAGTTACTTTTTTTAAGTTTAATTTAGGTAAGTTAATTCGTATAAGTAGCGCTAAATGATCTGAACCTAAATCGGGCAGCAGGTCTATTTTGATGATGTTATTTTTAAGATTGTTGGTATGTAATAGTATATCCGGGGTCGAGTCCTCGTTGTTGTCCATTAAGAAGGTGTGATGGGTCTTAAATTGGGAAAAGTTGGATCTGTTTAAAAAGGTTCTTATTTGCTTGGTTCTGTTTGAACTACTTAAATTAAAATCACCAATAATGATGGCATATCTTTTTGTGGAAGTCATAATGAAAATTGATTGTTCAATTAGGGATGAATGATGTATGTAGACTAAAAATACATGAAGATGGTCGTCCTTAAAGGGAATAGAAAAGTGTAGACAATTGTTGAGTGTGTTTTTGATTCTGGGGGCGTTTTGTTTGCGCATCTTTAATGAAGAATGAGATTGAATTAAGCAGCCTCCTCTTGTGTTGCGATTGAGGGTGTTTCCATCTTGCCTAAGGGTATTCCAGTTTTTAAATGAAGTGTTATCTTTTTCTTTGGTTTTTGTTTCTACAAATAGGGTGCAGCCAATGTCGTGGTTATCAATACTGTGGCAAATGAGGTGTTTTTTTGATGTAAAGTTGTTTGTGTTTGAGTATAATAAGTTATATTTGAGCTCTAGATTCTCCATTGTTTTTGCCTGCGATTATTTCGGTGGGAGAGTTGTGGGTATCAAGGTCAAGATCAAACATTAGAATGTAAATCCAATTGTTTCCGACAAAGCTAATTGTTGTTTCAATATTGAACTCCTTGATAAATCTTAGCTTAAGTTTCAGAACTATGTCTTCTCGGTTCATTGTGTTTGGTTTATTGAGTTTTCTAATGTAAGTATTTACAATATGGTCATGAATGGTGATGTTGGAATGTATTCGGGATTCTTTTTTAGTATCGTTTTCTAGAAGCAGTGATTTTTTATTTAATGATTTAACTGGAATATTTGGGATACCTTCAATAGGTTTTGTGGGACGGTTTGGACATCGAAATGACCAAGCTTGATTCTCGGTTGATTGGCAACTAGTACATTTAGGAGGCAGATCGGAAGTGCATTTGGAGGTTGAGTGGTTTTCATTGCATTTTTGACATTTGGGTTGGATAGTGCAATTGCCAATAATGTGCGAAAACGAGAAGCATTTGGAGCAGGGCAGTGGAGCTGGGGAAGGTGGCGAGCTGGGATAGATCGCATAGTGTCTAGATTTAAAAAAAAAAACCTGAGCAATTTTTCGTTTGTAGTGGAATCTTTGATAATAAGACGGATGAAATGTGTTGGCTGATTGGTGGCTCTGGATGTAATTCTTTTGCAGAACTCTATTGGAATGTTTTGTTGTTTAAGATAAGACAATATTTCATTGTCAGAAATTTCCAATTCCACTTTTGATATTACACAAGAGTATGAAATTGTGGTTCTTGGAGTAGTTTTGTATGGTTTAGTTTCAGTGAATATAGAGATATGTTTGTTTGATTGGAGTTTTTTTAGAGAGTTAGTAAGAATTACCTTTGAGGTGTCAGACTTAAGTAGAAATCCTTTTGTAGTTTTTATTATTATGTCACTATTGAGTGGCCGCTCCTTTTCCCAAAGATCTGCAAGTTGGATTCGTGAGGTAGTGTTGTCCACAGTTGAAAGATAAAAGATATGCATACTCTTTTTGTTGAATTTTATTCATTATGTTATTTTTGTTGGAACTTGATGATTTGTTGGAAGGGTTAGTTTGACTTGATTCTTCATTGTGTGCATCTGATTTCTTACTTTTCTTTACAATTCCAATGATTTCTCTAATTTGTTCGTCAGAAAGTTGTCTTGCATATGAAATAAAGTCCAAACTGTTTTTTTTTACCAGATGAACTTTTGTTGCCATCATCGTCTTGTAATATCCATTAGCTTAGTTAATTACACCAAATAATACTATTTTTGGGGAAAATAACCATTATTTTTTGTATGGTACCACAATGTGAATTAATATATAGATAAATTAATTAACTACGATAAATTAATAAATAAGTGGTACTTGGAGAGTACCACCATGCCAATAATGCAACTTATCGGGTGATACCGTGCGTATTCCTCTGAGCCAGGGAGTACAATTAAGGTTATACAAAAGCGCAAACATTGCTTTAATCTTTCTTGTCTTTTTAATACAGTTGATGTAAACGAATAAAATATTTTTTCACAAAAATACAACATTATTGGTAGTTACAATGTTTTTTTCAGCACAGGTTTTGACTAGTAAAGCTCTAATATTAGCATAAAAATAAAGGACAGGTTTTAAAGTAAATCTTATTAAAATTATATCCCAACTGTAATTTTTTGCAGTTATTCAATAAAAATATAAATTTATGATTTTAAATTACTCATATGTTAATATAATTTTAATTAAATTTAATTACAAAAAAAAAGAAAAAAATTTTTTTATAATAATTGATTTTAAAAATAAAAGTTTCAAAAGTTATATTAGAACATAAATTAGGGTTCCAAATTACATTTCGGTAGTTCCCGGACATATCGACTAATGGGATTCCCAGTAAAAAGCGCCGTAATCCTCAAGTAATTTTTGCATGCATACAGGGATATATGCAATCAGTGTTGCAACCTTAAAATGTTTAATCGAAAGAAACTGACGTTTGATCCGTAAATGTTATCGCTCGTTATTTATCGTATATTATAAGTACATAATATAACATTTATTTGTCTGGATCTAAATGTATTAGGTACTACTGTTAGAAATGCAACACTAAACAGTGACTCAATTCTCACTTTACTTGATGTTCTAGTATTGAACATACTACTGGGATCGTAAGGCTTGGTCGGCCGCTACCTATAGAAGCTTTTAAATAATAACAAGGCATGCGAGATGCAGGAAGTAACGTCACAGAAGACAAACACTGTGGTGACGTAGTCATAAGCATCTTTTATTCTACACGGTTAAGTGATGAGGCTGCTTATATAGAAATCATTGATTTCAAATCAAACAAAGTCATCAACGTTTGAGAATTTAATATGTTCATCATTTATTAAGAAATATTAAATTTGCCCGTTAATAATGCTTATGATAAATAAAGTCTCATAGGGACTTACAATTACATAATGTATGAAAGCGCAATTTTTACGGCTAGTAAATCGAGGTCAATGAACCCATTTTTGACAACACTTGACGCAAAGGGCCTTGGGCAAATTTTAGTTACCAAATACTACTCGTTTAATAGTAAATCGAGGTAACTGAACCCGTTTTTTACAATAAATTTGGCTTAAAGGGCCTTGGGAAAACGTTGAGTACGGATTATTTTTTATTTTTATGTTACCTATTAATTCATTAATCCATTAATATAATATAAAATTTTGTGGCATTTAAACACTATCTTTTTTATTTTTATGTTACCTATTAATTCATTAATCCATTAATACATATACAAAGATATAATTTTATTATTGCTATTAAAAAACTGTGGCATTCTGCCATTTTATTTATCTTTTTATAGTACAACAAAAAATTTAATGTCAGAGTCATGTTTGACCTCACGATAGTAGTGACCGATTAAAATCGGCAGATAATAGATGAAATCGGAAAATTATTGTTTTTTAAATTTCCCTAGTTTACCTGTAACATTTTTATTTTAAGATTATTTCGCGATGATATTTACACTTTCATTGTGTTTCTAATTTATAAAACATCTCATTTTCACCAGAAAATGTTTGTATAAAAAATATATGACCTGTATATTGCTTTTATTGATATGTTTATTTATTTTTAGGTTTGGATAATACAATATTAAAATATGCTGCTTCATTTTTAAATAATGGAGTTACCGGACATCAGCTTTTAAACCTTAGAGCTGAAGATTTAGAACATTTGGGTGTCAAAACATTGGGGCATCAGGAGATAATTCTTGAGGCTGTTGAACACCTCAGGAATTTTGTAAGTATTTTTATTTTCAAGCGTTTTATAATTTAAACTTTATTATTGTCAACACACACTACTACTTGATTATCGCCTAGGCTGTAAAAATAATTTTGACCAACTGTGTAATGTTTTTTTTACCTCCTAGTCTGTAAAAACCCTGTTTGGGCAAATAAAAAATTCGACTACTGCCATTTCTATTATTATACGTAATTGTACGTTTTATGTATCGTTTAACAAATAAAATTGTGCCTTGAAGATAAAAACATTTTATGCCATTAGGCTAAACAGTGTCCTTTTGTGCTTCGCGGATTTGTTTGTTTTTTTACCTTACTTAATTACCTTAATTATTAAGTAATTTTAGCATTATGAATTGGACAAGGAAAATCTACAGATGTTGGCATTAAGATTGTCTTGTACGGCGAACTCATTGTTTAAGGGATTATTATTATTAGACGATTCTGCAAAGCTTACTAACCAGATAATGAATGATGTTCATAACATTATTAATGCTGTTAAACCTTTGGCTTGTTGGTTAGATCGGTAAGTTGTATAATCGGCATTAAATTTATATTAAAAAGCATAATAACTATGTTAAAAATGATTTTTAAGTTAAATATTATTTTAAGAGAGTTAAAATGTAAAAAATTGTATAAATTTAGTAGTTTTAAATGCACCTTTCTAATAATCTTGTATCTAACTATATATTTGATACATATTGCAAAATAAATAATTTAATTTTAGGTCGCCTTTTGCAGGAGATAAGGAATACATAGAAAACAAGGAAGTTCTTTTAAAATCAAGCATTGAAATGGCTACTGTTGCTTTACGAGACATTTTTTCAAAAGATCCAATAAGAACCATTCGTCAAATGTGTGAACAGTTATCTAAAAGAGCAGATTATATTATACAGGTAAACAATTAAAATGACACTTTTTATATAAACAATTTTTAAAATTTATTAACGTTTTGAGTGTGAGTATGAGTATAAGAGACGTATAACCGGCCCCATTGCCTCATCGCTCCCGGGCCCCGCATAGGCCTCTGTTTCCTTGCGCCGATTTTCTTTCGCCACCAGCAACGGCGCAGCTTTACCCGTGTTTGCTGGTTGCGAATGTCCATTGCGTCCCGTACTGTCCCCTAATTAGCCATTCCTGGGTTCGCCGAGCCGATGCTATACGCCCAGTAGGGTCATAAAGGAGGTGTAGGACGGGAGGGATAGATATTTTGGTGTTTTGGGGACAATTACGCCGACTCAAATCTAAGTAAGACGCGGTACCCCCTAGATCAGGCAGTTAGTATTACTCCAAACATTTGGGATTACTGTATATAGTTCAGGAGTTGTTATTTTGCTACAGGAGCCTACGTCGTTGTCTACGTTTTTGTCGTTATTGTTCGTGTCCGTATCCAGGTAGGATCGTTCCTGTACATGTGTCTTCAGTCTTAAGGCCGAAAACCATCAATAGATAGTTCAGTAGTTAGATAACTTGTAGCTTTTGATGTTTTTTTTCTAAATTGTTTATTGTAGTGCGAAATTTCTAACAATTTTTTAGTTATTTTGTTGCCCAAGCACGTTTTGTGGTAGAATTGTTTTGTCTTTTTTTTCTTAATTTCCAAAATTAAGTATTGCATTTATTTATTAGTTAAAAAAATTACAAGCGCAATTATTCTGTTATAATCTAATGTGTTTACAAATCCAATAAATTAGTATGCTGTTTTTATAGCTATGTTTGGGTTTTCATGATTTATTGAGTGTTAGTTTATTAAGTGTCAAATGTTTATTATTGGTCTCGTATGGGTTAAAATTAACGTTTTTTGTTGGGGCCGTTCTTTAAGTTACTGGGTTTCATGCCTTACGCATTTGTTTGTTGACAGATTTATTAAACTACTCCTCTTTGGTGTATCACCAGGATAGTTCGATTGCGAAGTTTTTTGTTTGTCTTTTTTCTTTATTATTTTATGGTGTTGGGTTATAATTGTCTTTCTAATGTTTCTATTGTTACTGATGTTTATTGTTTTTTTTTAGAGTTTAAGCAGTGTGCCTTTCTTAGGGTTTTAAAGGTATCTGTCGTGTTTAATTTTGCAAATTATTTGTTAGGTCATGCATATGCTTGCGGATACTTATCAATTTTTTGCGGATGTTCTTTGACCTATTTTGTTTGTCTAGTGAAAAGCGTCTAATGAAAGGTGGTAGGACCACCCAGCAGCTTAAACTTGACTCTTTCTTATCACTTAACACTTCACTCTTTATTGACCGTTAAACTATTTTAGTTTTCACTTTATGAAACTTGTGTGTTGGTTTTGTTCTCTTTTGTTTGTCCAGTGAAAAGCGTCCAAAGACAGCTTAAACTTGACTCTTTCTTATCACTTAAGTCTTAACTCATTCTTGACCGTAGGGTAGTGTATACTCACTATAGTTGTTTCACTATAATTAGTTTGCACTTTTGAGAAATTATTTGTTGGTTTTAAACTTCAAACTTTTATGTTTTAAGAGCTCTCGCTGCTACAATGCGTCTTGCCTTGTCAAGTGCTGGAACCTGACGTTTTTATGTAAAAGCAAAAACAAAAGTACTTAAGTCAAAAACAAGTGTGCCCAGGAAGTTTTTGCTATTTTGAATTTTTTTTAGGTAATAGGTAGGTAATAAAAGTAAAAAGAAAGCAACAAAACTTTCTCAGTTTAATTATAAATATATTTATACTGAAAAAGTTTTGTTGCTTTCAATTATTATTATTACTTTTGTTGCATAAAAAATGAGGATCATAAATGATATTATAAAGATGTCGCTTATACAGAGTGGGCATACAATGGAAAGTTTCCATCCCGGTTTTCACCAATCGATTTCTGATTTGTGGTGGACAATTTATTTTTATATTTTTTAACCCTCAACTTTAATCCCTAAGCGTGGGTGATAGTTACTCACAAAATTTGAATAGGGAAGGTGGATCGACCATCCAAGTTTAAAGTCGCTGTTATCATCCCCGTTAATATGACCTGTCAAAATCTTGGAATCTTGGAGATATGATTAAATATAAGTTTCACTTCTAAAATATCTATACAATTATTAAGCTTCTATAATATAGTAAAATCTTAAAGCTGAACATCGTATGATGATTTAAAGGCTAGTATAGTAATGTTAGGTGGGACTTACATTGTAAATGAAGCAAAATCATTTTAAGTCTTCACACGTGTGAGGAGTCAACCATGTTTCAACCAAACCAATTATGTCGTTATCACTAGTTGATAGTTGCTATAAATAGCTATATATAAAATTTGTTATGAATAATATTCAAAGATTTACACAAAATAACCAACTTAACCAAAATACGAGAAATAAATAAACTACATATTCCAATACTTTATAAAAAAGAACACGTTGACTACTGGGGAATCAAAATCTTCAACCATCTACCTAAGTCTTGGAATCACTTACAAGAAAAACGAATACTTACTCCATTAAAATTACATCTACTTTTTACTCAATCCAAGAATTTTTAGACCTTAAATTTTAATAATAATAATAATAATAAATGTCTTTATTTATTTTTTAAATTTCTGAAATTACAAAATTTACATATCTGGACGAAGTTCAGATAGATAAAAAATTATCCCCAATCAAATATTTATTATTATATATTATTTATCTAATACAAGTATGAGATCTTTATGTTTAATTCCCTTTTTAATGATTGGAAGTGTTCAATCTGCTTCCGAGTTCTATCCATGGGTAATGAATATTCCAGAAAAAATTTCGGCATTTTTAAAATTTTTAGCTTGACGAATAAGATTTTTGACGAATTGTTCATTAACTAGGATAATGGGTCCTTGCGTGGATTTAGTAGGATCCAATTTATTAAGTCTTATTTGTTTAAGATTTGGTGATATTTCAAAGCCTAAGAACTACAGGACTTCACCAAACTTTTGCTTATCTGCAATAATTCTTTCTGTAGAAGATGTGTGTTCATTTTCTTTAATACCAAATAATATAAGATTGTTTTTCTATCGCTTATTTCTTGAATAATATCCTCGTAATCAACTATTGCATTAGCCGGCAAGGCATTTTGCTTTAACGATATAATGCCCTTTTGCAAAGCTACGATTACGGGTTTATTTAATTCTGCCCCTACCTTGGAACAATTAATACACGTGAAGGTAATAACCTTTTTTGATTTTAAGGTTCGTGCTGTAAGATTCACGCAAAAATGCAACAAATTTTCGTTGCATACAGAGCAAGATACCATTCTTATACTAATACTCATACTCCTTACCCTGTTTATTACAGCATGCACATGCAACAATTTTTGTAAAATTTTAGTTAGTTCGGCAACATCGCAGGAAGCGGTTGCAAACATGTTTACTTATCATTGTTTTAGGTTATGTTTTTTGGAATATTTAAATATATAAAATTTACTTATCTTGGTTTAACCAATATTCTTGCATTTTTATGTAAATTGGAACATGCATGATTGATAATTTATATTAAGTAAAAATAAGATATAGCAAGAGAAAAATCTAACAATGTTGCCAGATGTGAGATTTATATATATATTTAATTTTGATGAATGCAGTCAGTTATTTTTGCATTTTGACCTAAATTCCGATTCCTTGACCACAAAAACCTAAAACTACAAATTTTTAAAAATTTTTGGTCACCAACATGGTTTTATGAAAATTGTTTGTGAAAAGCTTTTGTTTATGGCGGGTTTACGAGTCACTCGCATGCGTTTGGAGGTCGCGTTTACGCGAGCTAGCCAACGCGCGCGACGGTTTTAACTCATGGTGGGCAATGGGATCGTTTATAAGTGAACTCGCGTGCGTTAAAAGGACGCGTGCGCCAAATCTCAGCCAGTTTGACGCGTCTTGGTTTTTATCCGGGGAAAAAACTTTACGCCGTAAAAAGATCGCGCGCGTTGAAGCCGATATCACGTGACATGACCAGCCAATGGCATCAGCCGTAAAATTAGCAGACGAGCTAAATTCATTAATATTGCGGTTCGGCGAATTAAAAATGGGTCCATTTTCCCAAAGTATGAGACATCAGACGAAATTAAAACACACGCACTGAGGAACCAGCTGACGTTTGAAGGTGAGCAAACGCGCGCCTTTGAAACTCGTAAATGGGGTCGCGTCAGGAAGAACGCGTTGACGCGAAGGCCCAGGAAACGCACGCAAACCTCAAACGCACGCGAGTGACTCGTAAACGGAGTATGAATGACTGTATGTATGAATGACACATAAGAAGAATAAAATTAATTTTGACTACACCTTAAAGCAAAGCATCAAACCATAACTGAGATATTGGTATACCCAAAATCCACCAGCCGCCACTGATAAGAGTTAAATAAATTTTAATAAAGGAAATTTATTAAAAAAGTGGGACAAGTTAATTAATCCATGTAAAAATGAGCCTGGTCATCATCAGAATTAAGTTTTTTTCTTTTAAAATCTCTTAACATACTGGCTCAACCGAAGCCTTTGTTAATTGTTAAAAATTTGAGAGCAATTTAAAATACCTTAGATCCAAACGCCCCACCCAAATTCGACAACTTGATTTTTTTTACTTAAAACAGTTTTAAACATAAATAACATGACATAGTATATGTTTTGTTTTAGGTTATATCTGACCCAATGATACTACAACCAGCTTCATTAGATTTGGCCACATTAAAAAAGAAGGAACAAGAATTAGGATTTTTTATTATGCCATGTAATCATGCTATTCATCAAATTTGTGATATAAAATATGGGTATCCAGCTCACAGTTGCAATAAAATTGAAAATGGTGATGAAATTGTCCAAGTAAATAAATTTAATTTTTTTAATCTTTAAAAATTATAATCTTTATTTTTAGGTTAATTATCAAACAGTAGCCGGTTGGCACCGTAAAAATGTAATGATATTAATTCAAGAGTCCCCTCCAGAAATTGTTTTAACATTAAAAAAGAGACCCAGACATACAAAAGTTTATGGTCAAATTTATATGAAACCATATAGATTACCAAGTAGAAAAAGGGGTGGTCAAAATTGGTTTCGATGGAATGATAACCTTCCTTCACCAAGGTTAATGCCTATTCATGATTTACCACAATTAAGTATTTCAAAGTAAGTAAAAACATTGTATTAAAAAAAACTATCAAATAACATAAAACAGGATGTTTACAATTTTTAAAAACCCTTTTTTATTTTTATAAAACGGAACGGATTTAGATTTGTCACACAAAAAAAGTAAAACTAGGAAATATAAAACATTATACCTAGGTATTAACTGAATTTATTATTATACCTTATCAATTCGTTGACTCAGTCGCATCTTCCGAGTCGCGCTCTTGAAACTTACAAACAGCAAAGCTCGCAATGATTGCTTATAAAGTGCAAATAGTCTGTAGTGTGGCAACTAGTGTGTGTAGACCACCCTAAGGTCAGGGAAGTGTTGAAGTTGAGGAAGGGAGGAAAGGCCAATTTGCAATTCTCGATAAGTAACCTTAAATATCTGCATGACCTAATATTATTTGCCACCATGACAGGTACCTTGAAAAACCCTAAATGAGGCACTTTTTGCTTAAACAGGAGAAAAACTAACCAAAATAATAACAACAAAAAAATAAACAAAGTGCACCAGTAACATAAAGACAATAGTAACAAAACAACAACAAAACAAAACCGCCCCAACTCTTAACTCGGTCACAGGAAAGCTGACTGGGACAATAAATCTACCAATAACAAACGACAAAGACTAAACCCATAAATTAAAGAAAACGGCCTGAACAAAAAACGTTAAACGTAACGATACCAAATAAACACTTCAAATCCAAACGAACATTAAATTAAGAAAACATAAACACAGAATATAAACACACAAACCGAATTCTAATGGAATTGGTTATTACATTAGTATACAGTGGAAGTCAAAAATACCTCCCACCGGTAACTGTCAAATCGCATCAATTGCACACCAACTGTTTAATACAAAGATATGATTGCAACACGAAAGAAAACAGCCGAGGCAAGACAATAACAAGTGCAGGAACAACCCGACACGGACAGAGTCAATAACGGTCAAGACATTGACCACGACCAGTAAACTAGGCCCCTGCAGCGAACTAACAACTCCCCAACTCCAAAAAGTAATCCAAAATGTTTGGAGTAATACTAACTTCCCTGTCTAGGGGGATCCCGCGTCCTACTTAGATTTGAGTCCCCCAAACACCAAATTGTCTATCCCTCCCGTCCTACCTCCTTCATGACCCTTCTGGGCGTATAGCATCGGCTCGGCGAACCCTGGAATGGCTAATAAAACTATTGGCATTTCGCTCTCGAGCCCTAATTAGGGGATAGTACGGGTCTCAATGGACAATCGCAACCAGCAAACACGGGTGAAGCCGCTGGTGGCGAAAGAAAATCAAGAAACAGAGGCCTATGCGGGGCCCGGAAGCGATGAGGCAATGGGGCCGGTTATACGTCTCTTATACTCATACTCATACCTTATCAATTCATTGCCAATTTTATGTCTACACACCCTGTGTATTTGGTTTTTACTGGGACGATACCAACCGGATTTGGTAATCCCATTTTTGAAACCCAAGCCAAGAAGGTGTCAATGCATTTTTACAAAAATAGTTCTTTTTTGGGACATCTGAGTATATTTAAAATAGATTATTTAGTTTAAAATTATTACACAACATCTTAAGCCTATGTATGACGGTCCAACTTCTGGTCGCCGCGATTTTTTGGTGACTGTAACTTTTATAGGGATTTGCAAATTTAAGCTTTATAATCTGTGCAGTTTTTTTATTTACAAGCCTGTACAAATGTACCAAACAGGCTCTTAGGTTTTTCACCACACAATACTTATAACAAAGAAACCATAGATAAAAGTTTAAAAGAAAAACAAAAACCAATTTAAATAAACATTTATATTGTTTATGTATTTTTATTTTTTTCACTAGTAATTTTCGGTTAAGTTAGCAATTCTAGTAGAAAATAGCGTCAATTTGGTTGCATCGTGTTCAACTCGCGGCTATATCTTACACCTATCCCTGTCTACTGCGCAAGGCTAAAATAGTTGAGTTGGGTTAGATACCTATTGTACTGTATTATAAAGCTAGACCGGTTAAAACTAAATCCTGTATGATAAATAATATATTATTAAAATATTTATATAATTAATATTTGTATAAATAATTATTAATTATTCATACTCAACTTTATTTTATAATAATTATTAATGATTCATACTCTACTTTACTTCATTATTAATATTTGCTGCGAACTATGTGCACGTAAGCCATTTCCGAATAGCCCTACTCATCACCGCCCACCCCACTACCATTTCAACGCCAGCACAGCATTTCATGCACTGTCAGACATGGGCTGTTTATTAATAATGCGTATCTTATGCTAACAATTTTTTTAGGTTACCTCTTACGGTAGAACCTGTTGATAAAGAAACTGTTAGTAGTAGTGATAGTGAGCCTTCCGATGGTTCATTGGATGGTGAAAGTAGAATGTATCCTCTTAAGCCAAGGCCAATTTTACAAAGAAGAAATACTATTACTGGGGTAACCCCTACCAGTAAAAGACCATATTTACCAATTGAGGTAAGTACAATAAGAATTTGAAAGGTACATGTTTCGGGATTTTTTCATATTGGGTTTTGGTTTTTTATATTTTTAATTTTATTTAATATAATAATGGTAATTTAAAAAAAATAATTGCGGAAACATATGTGTAGTAGCGAAAATATATCAAAACATTTAATTCAAGTTAAAAACAATAGAAAATACAATTTTTTTTATACTGGTACATAATATGTACTAACTCAGATATCACAAAGAAGTACTGGAAACGTCCTGAGTATGTCTTGTATCAGACATTAGTAAGTCCCGAGTACGTCCGAATCAGGTCCTGAACCTTCCCCAGGACATACCAGGGACATCCGATGTTACCAAATCGTCGGTACCCAGAACGTCCTAAGTAAGACATCCTCTGGCCGTCCTAAAATACTTTATTGGGGATTATTGGACAAGCTCTACAGAATTGAAGAGAGGTATTCCGAAAGGGTCTAAGTGACAAACATAAAATTGTGAGTTATCAATGAAAAACAAATATTTTGAACATATAAATGTTGGAATATTTTTTAAGTCATTCTGCATGACAAACTATTTTTAAACGATAATATATTATTTAGCCAACTTGACACTTACACCCTTTGGAAATACCATGCTTCAATTGCTAAAAAAAATTACGTTCTTGGGACGTACCGAGTATATCCGCTTTAATTTTCCCAAATAAGTAAGAGACTGGACGTACCCAAAACTTCCAATATAGGTCTGGGACGTTCGGACCTATGTGGGACCCGAAATGGACGTCTTGGGTACCTCTTGTGCTATCTGGGAAGTAAATGCACATTATACGGCTTGCGGTTTTGCGAAAAACGGGACGATTGGCAACCATACAAAGGAGTAATATTTATTTATTTATTTGCACTCAATAATTAGAGCCCAGTGACTGTTGTACAATTCTAGTTAAGCTTAAACTTCACTCAAGCTATTTGCACAAAAAGTATTGGAAGACCTCTCAAAAACGACATAATTTTTAAAACAGCCCTTCCCAGAATATTCTATGCTATACTATTTTTTTTTAATGAATAGCTTTATTGAACCAAGAGAATTACAGGAAATCTACGGAGGAGGAACCTCCATTCAATTTAAAAATAAAAAAATATATAAAAAATTTGATTGTTTGGATCTTATCATATAGGTAACATAAAATCTAATTATTGAAGACATATGACAGAGAAAATTAACACAGTAAGACAAAATTTTAACTCAAAGAAAAACAATACATATTCTATATATAGCCCAAGAAGTCCTTAAGTGAACGTGCAAAACATGAGGTTTTTTTTGTTTAAGGTTATTTGGAAGCAAGCTATAATTTTTTACTCCTTAAAAAAGAACAAAAGTTTACACCATTTCGAGATCTACAAAATGTACCGACTAAATTTGCTCTGGCCCTAGTGTTGTGCTCATGTATGTTAGATCCTAGGGTGAAAGTTAAGTTAGATTGTCTAGAACACTTGATGTTTAAACAAATTTACTTGAAGTTTGTAAATGTTGTTTAGAGCATAAATTTTATAGTTATATAAGTCAATTGTAGGATATTGTCTGTCTAGTGAATAAATGTTTTTAATTGCTCTATTTTCTAGAATTTATAGGGGCTTAAGATTTTTTGTATTGCACTTGACCAAATGATGTTTAGGTATTACAAGTTTAAGTGCACCAATGCATAATAAATGGATCTTAAGTAGGCACTTGGTACAGTGTAAATAAGTCTTTTAAGAATAGATACTGGTCCCATTAGTTTACCTCTTATGCATTCTATGTGGTTGCTCCAATCCAATTTGTTATCTATTAATAAACCTAAAATTTTTATTATTTTATTTTCTTTTAGTATACCGCTATTAAATATTATTCCCTGATTACTTGTTATGTTCACAGTATTTCCAATCCTCATAAATGATGATTTTTAGATATTTAAGGTTAGTTTGTGAGATTTTAGCCATTGGCTTATGAGATTCATATCATTAGTTATGGATTGTTTCACGTCGGCGTAAAGTGTTGGTCCCCTGAGATTAAGGTTTGTGAGAGAGTTTATATACATTAAGAATAAAGTTGGCCCCAAGATGGATCCTTGCGGTACTCCATAGGATATTTTATTATTTATTTAAATGTATTACTTTTAACTGAACAAATTGCTCCCTAGAGGACAGGTAATCCCTAAACCAAGCGCCGCATGCGTCCTCCACTCCACTAAATTTAAGTTTCTTAAAAAATATATCATAGTCAATGGTGTCAAATGCCTTCCTCAGGTCCATCGACACCAGGGCACATTTTTTCCTTGATCAAGTTTAAGTTGGAAATTTGTGATTAGATCAACAGCTGCATAACTGGTGTCACTGGAGCCATATTGACAATCTCTGACAAATTTAACAACATTTAACTGTTTTTAAAATCTTGGATAAAACCGGCAGTACCGAAATAGGACGATAATTATTAACAATTTCTTTATCGCTACTTTTGAATAGAGAAGACACGCGAGCCAACTTCATTTTCTAAGGAACTCTACCCTCAGAAAAAGACTGATTTAAAATTTTACACATTACAATTTCTTTGAACTTTTTGATTGGTTTGATGTCCACTTGATCACGGCCAGTTGCCTTAGATACAAGTTTTTTAATAATATTCTCTATCTCACTTGGTGTAACTTGCTTGAACTGCATTTTATTGATAGTTTTTAGGGCATCGGTTGAATTTCCCTGGCTAGATTCTCTCCTACCTTTGTGAAGAAGTTGTTTATATTATTGGCTATTAATTGCTGGTTATTTCTAACGTTTTCATTGATTTTCATGGAGGAGATCCCAGACTCCTTGGAGTTAGATTTATTTCTGACTATGTTGTTTATTGTTTGCCACGTTTTTCTTACATTCCCACTACATTGACCAAAGTTGTCTTCATAATAAGCTCTCTTGGCTTTTTTTATTTCTGATTTTACTGTTTTACATTTGTGTACATGTTGTTGAGGAAAGGGTTTTCATGATGTTTTTTCCAATTAAACCAGACTTTGGAATTATTACGAAATTTGTTTTTAATACTTTTGTACACTGTGTTGCGCTGAAAACATTCTAATAAATTATTATAATTATCATCAATACTTATTTCTTCTGTGTAAGCTTCATAAAACTTTTGTATGTCTTCGAATAGTTTATCATAGTTTACTATTTTTTTATGTAAAATTCAGATCTTTCCTGCTTTACTTGCAACACTTGGATTTTATGGTCACTTACACTATTTGATGTAATAGATAGTCTGCTTATAATTTTTTGAGCACCATGGCTTAATAAAATATGGTCAATAAGTCTTTCATTTCTATGAGATACCCGTGTTGGTATTATTGGGTTGTAGGGTTCAAACTCGTATGTGGCATAGGTTTGTCTGTAGATGAGTAATTTTTGTGTTGTTTTTAGTGGGTTAATGTTCATGTCGCCTATAATTATGAAGTTTTTGTTGGTTAACTTAATTAAGTTAGATAACTTATTGTCTAAGAGCTGAGATTGGTCAATGTCATGGGTGGAATGTATAATCCTCCAATAAATAAGTTGAGTTCTTGTAGATTAACAAGCACAAAAGATATGTCAGTTTTGTCAATTACCTTGACCGTGTTATATTTTCTGTTTCTTATGAGTATGGAGACTCCGCTCCCCTTTTTATACGACTGGCAAAGATAGCCCTAAATCCTGGTAGGTAGGTTATAGAATTTTTGTTCTTCTTCCAATACCCAAGTTTCTGAGATAACCAGCATGCTGATGTTTTCCCTATATTTAATGTGTTAAGAGCTCAATATTGTCTAATTTATTTTTTATTGTGCGGGCATTTAAATATAGAATATATAGATGTTTCTTTAAATTGGGCACATTTAGTACATCATTATTGTAACTATCAATGTTACAGAATTTTTTACATTACTAGGATTTACAAATACAAAAAAAATTAGTTTATTTCATGTAAGTCAATGTTGGTCCATTTTTATTTTTTTTCCTTGTAATAATTCATTTATTTTGCCCGTGTGAGTAATTTTTATTGGCTTTGAATCATCAGTTTCTCTGGCAATGACAGTTCCATAGCTTAGCCATACATGTTTATATCCATTTTTAATACTGGCATTTTTTAGGAGATACCTAGTTTCCTTTGGGGTATGTTCGTTTAGGTACCCTGTGTATTTTTGACTGTCTACCTCTATCTTAAGTTTACCAGCCTCCTTTTTTGTTAAAACTTGATTCTTTACGTCTTCATTTTTAAAAGAGAGTAGGATTGATACAATTGTTTTTTACTTGGCGGAATTTTTGTTGAGTATTTATCATCTTGACAACGGCTATACCACGTTGAATACGCCGGTCCTCGTCCCGATTCTCAGGTCGACAGCGGTGCGAGCAACACGTACTTCGATCCGTGTGAGTCTACAAAGAGAATATTAAAACGTTAAAACAAAGTGATAAACGCGAATTAAAAAAGACATTATTAGTAAATTAAGTTAAATATAAGTTAGTAGTTAAGTGAATTAGTTATAGAAAAATAGAAACTAGACTAATAAAAAAGTGCTGTGTATGTGCCCACGAGACACTTAGTGTCGTGCGGTGAGCACCCGCGACAAAAATGACAAACCGAAGGTGCTAAACAAAGGAAAAGGCAGAGGTATGACACTTGTCCCTAAAGCATTCAAAGCAGTTATAACTTATAAGGCCGAAAAAGATAAAATCAAAACAGTTGTCTTTCATTCGTCCCCATAGTCATACTCATTTTTGTTGAATATTTATCATCTAAGATATCTGCTTTAAGCTTGGTAAATATCTCCTTTAGTTGTTCCTTGCTTTTTCTATCATTTTCATATTTAAGACCAACTATTATAATATTGTTTGTGCGCTTATTATCAGCATAAATTTACTCTTTTAAGCAATTTTTAATGTTGATTATTTCTTTGTGTAGGCTTTTCACTTTTTGTTTACGTGTGTCATTTTCTTTTTTTAACTTTTTATAGTCTCGAGTAATTGTATTTGTGCTAGTTTTCATCTCTTCAATGATGTTATTTATAAAACTCAAGGAATCTTCTATGTCCGAAAACTTTTGCCTCATAATCTTCAAAAGATCGTTGTTACTATCTTCGTTTTACTTACTTGCTTTCTTAGGGGTGGTTTTTAAAGGCTTTTTAATTCGGTTTTTAGCCTTTTTGTAAGGACTGGACTCTTCACTTCTACTTTAATCGGAAGTGTTGTCACATGTGTCGCAGAACCATCTTATTTTTAACTTTTTTCATGTCTTGTTTTGATAGGTCCAAGCATTTTGCATAAGCCCAGTTGGCACATGGACCACTACATTGAATTGGGTAGCTTCTTTTTCCCAATTTATGAGTACAAATTAAGCAGTTACCCATTTTTTAGGTTAATCTTTTTCTTTTTAAAATTTACCTCTATACTATATTATAATGTGCTTAAAGTGTTTATGCTGCCCTGCTCAGCTAAACCCCTGTATCTACAATATCAAGACATAAAGAACAAAAGATCATTTTAATTGTTGTTAACAAAATGTATATTTTGTCCTTTATTACTTAATATATATATTTAACATTTAATGTTTGGACATTTGTAGTTTTTCAATTGTAACTAGTCAACTAATTACGTTTGAACTGCAACACTTACGAGTTGGGAAAATTAAAAGTACGTTAATAAAGCGTTATCACACGTATATTGTACAAATTTTTATGTACGCCTCTAAATGAAAAAATAAACGGTATTTATTTTTGTCTAAGACTTAATTTAGGGTTATTTTGACATTTTGACTTTTTTATTTGATTGGTTAAAAGCAGAGAAAAACGCGTGCGTTAATGAACTTCTTATCTCACTCAAAATGAGTGGGATAAGAAGTTCTTATCTCACTGGCGTAGATAAAAGATATAAACGTGGAATTTTGGAAATTTATCAAACTTTTTATGGTCAATGAGATGAAATAATAACAATTTCAAATTTTCCATGAGGGGTGGGTCAGATAAACTACCCTAACTTTAATGTAAGATTATTTTATTTTAGGGGTTTACACTCAAAGAAGGTCATCTTCTTGAACTTTGATAATATCCACAATTTTCGCTTACAATCGATTTGAAAATTACCTTACATGGCATAACAATTTATAATGAAATCACAACTAGATAAAAAGATTTAGCTTGGGCCATGGAACATGGCTGCTATGTTTAGGAAAAATTATTCAAGATAGGTGACATTTTATGCAATGTAACAATTTAATCAATTCTAAAAATATCATTTTTCTATCTTGAACGGTTTTGGAGATATTAAATAAAAAACAATCATCAGGGGCTCCTCTATTGGAGGCTAGGAAGCATTACTCGACCTATATTTATGGAAACTTTTTTTCTATATTTGTACCTGGAATCTGCTGTGTATTAAAGGCTAATTATGGGAAACCCTGTATATAAAAAAATATTAAATTGTATGTATTCTTCATAAAAAGTTCTCAGATATTAATTTACTGCAGTTGTATACGAGGTTCGTCAAAAAATATAAATTTTGCTCAAAAGTAAAGTACCTTTATCTACTCCTATTGTATAATATTGGATTTTTCCATATATAAAGAAAACCATTATGCGAAATACGAAAAATGTTTTCATTGGTCCATTTGATTTGGCGGGAAAAGCGTTTTGACGTTTCTACAGATCCTGCGAATTTGTAAGATTGGAAATCTGGGGGGCGAGAATCTTGAGATTGATTCAATATTTTGTGAAAATCACACGAATTTGTCTTGATTCGCATGCACATTAATTAATTCTGTCTTCGTTTCAACAATAAATAAGCGCAATTGCACGCCTTCGTCGCCGATGTTATAATTGCCACTGGTATAATTGTTCATCCATAATAAAAACACAAAATCTCAATTTACATAAATCAACAAATAGAAAATGTTAACCAAGTATGGCAAAAATCGCCTGGGGAGAAAATTAAGCCCCTTAAATACCATCGAAAATATCACCTAGTGAGAAAAAAATTTCCCCAAAATAGTTCGCATCTATATGAAGTAGGAGTTGCGAAATGCGAATATTCGTATTTCGCATTTCTCATCTATATGAAACCGCTTTAACTACGTAAATAATAAACTCATTATTCACGTTGTTAGGCATCAGTGATTGGCCGATTTTAATATTAACTGTGATTTGAACCAAACGGATTTTAAATTTAGAGAGGCGACTATAATAATATTTAAAATTGGTAGAAAGTGTGGTTTGACATTATTAAATTATTTTTTAAAATCATTTAAATATCTAGTAATTGGAGTAGATAAAGTATGGCATTGCACTAGAGATTATGCGCATTATTTACACGGATGATTTGCGTCTCTTGTCTAGCGACTCGAGACACAAACCTTTATTATTGTAAACTATTTTTACCTCGAGGTAGTAAAATGTAAAGGATTACAATTAGCTACATGATTTGTTTTAAGAAACTAATAATTTATTTAAAACAAAGAAAATGTTCATAATAAAACAAAACAAAGCAATTTGTTATAGTTATTTACGTTATACAAGCTTTGTAGGCGAGCTGGAACTTTGTGGGGTGAGCGACGCAGGAGCAAACCCCATAATCCAGTGAGCCTAGTAAAGATTAATTGCAAAGTGTGACACTTACAAACTTTTATTTTCACCTTTAGATAACGATTTTCAAATTTAAAATTTCAATTAATGTGTCAAAAGTAACATTTCATTTCATAAACTGCTTTTCTACAAGCCTGTAAAACTTTACAGGTCTTTTATACAGGCCTGTAAAATATTAAAGGCCATAATGTATCGTTTACTTGGATACAAAAACAACAAAATTAACCTTTAAAATGTCATTTACTAAGAAGGTTTGAAATACATGAATTTTAAATGGAATGAGGTGACTTTTAGAATTTTATGACCTTTTCAGGGTATATGGGGGCTACATGTTAAATGTACATCCACCACTAACTCATTTTTATTAAAAAGTGGATTAGCCGAGTTTTGGAATGGACCTCCTCATTTATTATAGTTAAGATTATAACAGCGCTTTAATAAAAGCACAATATGTACATATGTAGTTGTTTAACAATTTTAAATAAAAAATTCTTAGCGCGCGGCCTTTTATAAACCAATATATCTTTCTTATGTGTCAAAAGATGTATCAATAACCAAATATTGCCTTATTCGTTATTCTTTGGGCTACAATTTGGTGTAAATATTTTTCCAGACCAACTTGGACCGCATAACTTATCCTTAGTTAAGTGTAAAATTTTATGTACAATTAATAAAATAATTTTACAAAACATACAATATCATATTTCATAAATCTTTAATTTAAACCATATTTTTTATATTTTCGTTATATATAAGAAAATCTAAAATCCAATTGCATTGCTTTGCTTTAAACAGTTGTATCTTTTTTAAATACAATGTTTTTTTAACGTTTTCTTTCGGAATCTTACGAATTAAAGGTTTTTCTTTACATTGGTTTATTATTTTTTTGATCAGATAAAGTTGACTTTTTGGACTTTTGGCCAGGCCTATCCCACCGTGCACTCCACTGGAACAGTGGAGTTACTGCCTTCTGTTGAAATTCTGCTGAGGTGCAAGCCTGTATGTAGGACCTTTCCCGATACCGTTCGCAATTGACAGACACCGAGTTATGAAAATAACGCGGCTAGACCAAATCCTGGACCTCTCGTTCTAAAAACAAAGCAATTTTAAACTAAAGTGTCATTTAATAACCTATCCCCAATGAATGTTGTAGATATTCTCACACACTATTTGATTTATTTAATTTTTTAAATTTTAAAATTTATTTTATTATTTTCTGAAAATAATGTTTTAACTTGTTATACATAAAAATAGAATATTATTACCTTGACAGTACCTCAGTCGTAACATTTAGGATTGCCAGCACGTTGAATGCTCTTGACAGTGCATCTCGCTCTGATTGGCTTTATCTCCCCAAAATATGTTTGATATTGTGAACACCCTTAACAACTCACTCCAGACAATGCAAAAAAATAGATTTTATAACTATTCTTTTAAAACCAATACCCAATTTTAGTTTTACAATCTTTTTTTAATTACACCATGTGTTTTTTAATTGTAATGCTTAAGAATATACTTAAAATGTCCTGTATTTCAAAAATTTAATTTATATTAATTTTAATGTATTTATTTTTAGTATTGGGAATTGTATAAGCCAAATAACTCAAGCACTGATGCCAGTTCCTTAGATATTATAAAAATGGAAGAAAGTTTTTTAAGAGATAAAAGTGTATCTTGCAATATTGGATTAGATAAAAGACCTACAACTGTTATTGGATTAGGAAAAAGAAATACATCGTTTAAAAAAAGCTCTAAAGACAAAAACAAGAAAAAAGTAAATTTTGAAGAAAGTAATATTTATAATAAAATTAAATCTAAACAAGAAGAAAACAAAGAAAATTCATTTATTAATTTGCCCGCGACCAATTTAGACTTGGAAAAAAGTATAAGTATTAACAGTATTTCCAGTCTTCAAAATGAAAATATATCATTTATTGATGAAGGCAGGGAACTAACTGATAGAACTAGTATGGCCATGGATTCAAAAGTGTTTGAAGAAGTCAATAATGATATGCCCAATAAAGAAGCCAATAGCCCTTCAATTAAACAAATTATAAGAATATTTGATAACCAAAATGAAGAAAAATCTATAGCTCACAAACCCAAAATAGCACCAAGATCAAATTTAAATAAACCGCCTGAAGTTCCTAAAAAACCTAAGCCATTGGTACCACCTAGAATTGCAATAAAACCAAGAGTAAAACTAGATAAAAGTCACAGTACCCCAGCCTATGATTTAACAGAAGAGCCTAACTCAGAAAACATATTAGCAGAGTCCTCAATCATTCTTGACAAACCAATTGATGTTTCACCAATAAATGAAGAATGCGCAATAAATATTATTAGAGAAAACATAGAAAACAATAATTTTAGAGAACTAAATCCTTTACCAGAATGTTCCTTTAGTACTAACGACGATTTACCCCCCAAGCCACCACCGAGAAATATAGATGTACAAAAGCCAGCTTACCCAGCAGATTCTCCAAAACCTCAAAACTTATTAAATTTAGCTAAATCTCAAAACCCTAGATTGGATAATTTCCTTGAAAATCAAGTATTTGAATTTCCAGAACCAAAAACAAATTCCACGAATACAGGAATTCAGCAAACAGGAATGCTTATTGGAAAATTGGTTTGTGATGAAAAACCTCAAAAATATTTTGAATCAAAAAAAGTGGCTACACCCATAACTAAAGAAAAAATTATTTATAATGAAATAAATGCTCCCTTGCCAAAAAATAATTTAGAAGTTCAAAAGCCTCTTGAAGAAGAAAAAAGTAATAATCAAGATTTATCAAAAAGTTTTGAAACACAAAAAGGTTCTCCTACGAATTCAATTGTTAAAATAATTTCCACCAAGAGCAAATATTTAAAAAAGAAAAATTCACTGGTAGCAAGTAAGTATCTGTATTCATTTTAATTTGCCTAGTATCTAAGGTATGTTGGAGCTGTGATAAACGATAAAAACGTTCGTAGCTATCGTTACTAGCGATGCAACGTCTTTTTAAAAGCTAGTAACGATATCAAAGACGCTCTTATCGTTTATCACAGCTTCAACATACAACATAAATTTTGGCCAAAATTTGTACAAAATTTGTGAATTTTAAAAAATATAATATAATATAAAATATTGTATGTACAAGAATTGAAGTAAAAGGTTTAAGATATTAAGATATATTTCTTCCCATAATATTTAAATATTATAATATTATTTACGAACATTGGTCTGAGGTAAATTTACGCGGCAAAAACCCATTTTTTAAAACACTTTAAAAAAGTATTTTGATGTCTCTTTATTGCTCTTGACAGATTATTACCTAAGATTTTAAACTGCGAAGTAAAATTTACTGCGCATGCGTTGCGTTATAACAAATACATGAAAGAATTATCAAGGATACTCTTACTTTTTCGTGTTAAAAAAGGTGTTGCGAAAATTTATAGTACGGATAAAGGTAATTACAAATACATTATTTATCAAATAAAGCGTTTTTTAATCTATAAATTCCCAAGTTTCTGTAATTTCAAATAATGAATGTAAGTAAACATTTATAATTACTTGCCCTGATCGACCTACGAATACGTGAGATAAAGGGAGACAAACAACCATTGTTAAACAAATTAGATAACAAAATACTTAATTCCCCTCTGCCAGCGTGCAGTACATGATTTTAAAACGATTAAATCAAAATAATTAAACGTCCGCCAATGTTTTACTTTCCCTCCTCTAACTGCTGTACAATCCCACTACTAGACAACCTTGACGCGATTTTCGCTGTCATGTCTCGATTTAATTTCAGTATTACTACGACCACGTTGGGGTGCTGTCGGATGAATTTTAAATTTCCTTTAAAATTTAACTACGATTTTGTTAACAAAAACTAAATACCTTTTTTTCGAAAATGTGTAAAATAAACGATAGTAGGTATTCTTGCATTAAAAAAACAAATATTCCCAATCAAAAATGGTATTCTAAAATATTTAAATAAAAAGGTCCCCAAACTCTGCTGTACAATAGGTTAACCTATTATAAAAATTTTGTCGTACATTTGAGAGCATCTCAGGACTGACGATCTCAAAAAACCTTTGAAAGACGTCTTTTGATAGACGTCTTAAAGATATCTTTATTTAATGTTCTAAAGACATCTTCCAAATGCCTTATACCGCTGTTTATTTTTTTTTAATTTTTTGATAAAATAGTGAATTTTGACAAGTAAGATATAATTAGGTACCATCTTATTTTGGTTTAATAGAAACAACATTAATGTAGGATTTTAAGTTTTGACAACGATGATGTTTAGGGTAACTGAATAAATAAATCAATATATATCTGACATTCTTGTAGATTGGTTATTTTTTCTGCAATTAATAATATCCATTTGTAATAATACAGAGTAGACTCTGTGTTCTACTCTGTGTTAGCTACATTTTAATTAAGTACTTAATACCTTAAAAACGTTTTGGCGATGTAGCAATGCATACCCAATATATATATATATATATATAATATATTTCGGAATATTTAAATTAAGCCTAAATATACAAAATTTCATACAAATGTGTTAATTCTTCCCACTAGTTTTTGATGTTTGTGGTAAATTTACTCCTAAAAGAGGAAAAAAGACAATATTTGTGCTTTAGCGCGCTGGTAGAAAAGTGTTATAATTATTTAATTTGTTGCATATTATGTAATTACTAAAATAGTAAATATACAGAGTGGTCCACGTTATTTTTTCTGCAATTAATAATATCCATTTGTAATAATACAGAGTAGACTCTGTGTTCTACTCTGTGTTAGCTACATTTTAATTAAGTACTTAATACCTTAAAAACGTTTTGGCGATATAGCAATGCATACCCAATATATATATATATATATATAATATATTTCGGAATATTTAAATTAAGCCTAAATATACAAAATTTCATACAAATGTGTTAATTCTTCCCACTAGTTTTTGATGTTTGTGGTAAATTTACTCCTAAAAGAGGAAAAAAGACAATATTTGTGCTTTAGCGCGCTGGTAGAAAAGTGTTATAATTATTTAATTTGTTGCATATTATGTAATTACTAAAATAGTAAATATACAGAGTGGTCCACGTTAGGTTACTTCTCTTAGAAACTACTGGAATCAAAAAAAAAAAATTGGGGACAAAAGTTCAAAAACCTATAAAATTATAGTATTATTAGGTATTTTTATAATAATTGCTGGGTAGTTTCTACTCCCACCTTTTAAATACACATTGACAAGTTGATCAGTCGACCTTTTAAACTTAAATTCGGGCACGGACTCCACTGTAAAGTCCTCATAAAACATTTTCTTTACTTTAACTGTGAAAAACTGTCAATTTTCAAGAAATACATTTCGACTTTTATAATCTAACAAAATATAAAAATGTGACATTTGACGGTGACACACAGATTCCCCTATTCATAGATGGCGCTCTATAAATTTTTTTGATTTAAATCATGTCGTAGAAAAAGTATAGTATGCACCGCGTTTATCAAACTTAATACATAATATACTATTATATATAATATATATATATATATATTATTAATAATATATATATATATTATTATTAATTATTTACTTATTACCTTTTTTATAGAAAGAAGAAAAGTTTCTGTTAACGATTTAAATCCATGTGAAACCCAAGGGTTTTTATATCAGCGTCTTCGTGGGAAAAATAGTGTCCATTGGAATAAAAGATGGTTTGTTTTATATGGTAATAGTTTATATGGCTTTAAATCCAAGGAAGATCACAAAGCAGCATGTTTAATATTTTTATCTGGATACACTGTTGCAGTGGCAAATGAGGTGGGTTCTCTTTTATTAATAATTATAATACTGTGACTATTCTCCCGGCACCGGCAGGGTTGCCAGATGAGGGGATTTCCCCAATAATGAGGGTATTTTATTTTGTTTGGGTATTTTTTTGGGGATATTTTTATCTGGGGATTTCTTCTGGGGAAAAAAACTAATTAAATCTCAAAATCCTATGAAGAGATGACATGTATACTTGTGAAAGTATTTGAGATGACATATTAATTGCTTAAGCAATAATTATTATAATATTAAATATGTAAGTGGCGGCATCTCAAGTTGTCAATTTTATACCAACCGAAACTATGTTAAATAAATTAAATAACGAAAATGAATTTGTTTTGGAAATGTTTTGAAAACATTGTTTTCTAACATTGTTAATTAGTTCCATAATCCAAAGATATGTATTTTTTATAAGAAGTATTTTTAGAAGAAAACTTATTTAATTATATTATTATACAGGGTGTCTCAAAAGTCAAGAACAGCAGAAAAGGAGGGTGGGATTTTAAGTCGAATAGTTTTTGCCGTTTTTCCATCAGAGGCACCATTAATTAGTTATTATTAAAATAAAGTAGCCAATCACAGGCCTGTTTTAGCAGAATGATTAGAGGTGGGACAACACAAACTTTTGTAGAAATTCCATGCCATGAACGTATCATATTGTGAAATGACCTTAATTTTATTTTTCACTGTTACTGTCAGTGTTTTGGGTTTTTAGGTTCAGGAGAAAAAGTCAATGACATAGATGTTAGTTTTCGAGTAAGAAAATATATAAATAACAAAGATTTTAATGAAAGTGATAAGTTAGGTTTCCTTAAAGAGTGCTAATTATTTCTTAAAGCCATAGTTAAGAAGATATTGGAAAGAAATTGATAAAATTTGATAGTAATCATCAATGACCAATCTAACAGTATTAAAAATTTTCAAAATTTGCTACAAATAATCCATGACTTAAATCTGGTAACGGCAGAATGTGCCAAAACGGAATTTAAACATTTTGTAACTTATTTTTCCAAAGAGATTAAACAATTCACTCTTAATTGGGCCAATGACAATATTAGAAAGATACTTACACTGGATATGTTTTACCATTCATTATTGGGAGTAAACACAATTGATTTTAAACAACTTTGGACTGTAATTAAATTAATTAATAAAAACAATAGAATTGGGGTTTTCTATTAATAAAAATTTTTCTTAACTAAGAAAAGACGCAAACAAGCAAGACTTTGAAATTTGTTTTTCTTGTTAAAGTTAATATTTTTTTGCTGTATTTTTTGTGTATAATTAAAGTAAAATTGGTTGTAAAATAATAAACATCTATCTATCATAGATTTTCTTTTCCAGGTAAAATCTAGATCACATGCCTTTAAGGTGTATCATACGGGAACAGTATTTTACTTTTCGGCAAATGACATGGAATCAGAACAAACGTGGATTGAGTTAATTAAAGCTGCAACTATGCAAAGTGATCGAACAAAAAGTTCCGATGCTGCCCTCTACTCAGAAACAGACGAATCAGATACAGAAAAAAAAGTTTCTTTAAATGAAAAAATAGATCCTTTTAAGAAATTTGGAAGTTTAAAGAAGTTTAGTTCGAAAAAAAGTAATGAAGATCAAAGTGGAAGTACCAGTTTAGACAGAAAATGGTTTTTTAAGTCTAATGTATCAAATTCATCCAAAAACTCAGTCCCAGTACCAACAGCTCAATTCCGATCGTATCGTAAAATTAAAAACGATTTTAATAGTATTACAACAGGAAACTTTACATCCCATGTTTCTCTGTTTTCGGGTGCGGTACTACCCTCTTCACAAAATATTAGTGTTCCGAACCTTACCATAGAAACTATACCAATAAGTGAATCCGATCAAAACCATAAATTGCAGAAAAATAATTCAATCAATTATATGCATGCCAGTAATCCTAGCTTATGTAATATAAGCGAATTTAATGTCCCAATTTTTTCCAAAAATTCTTTATTAAATCCACCCCATAGTAATTTCCAAGGTTTTATGACATTAGAAGAATTAATGGAAAAAGAAAATGAGCAAAGAAAACAAAATCCACATATAATTGCTGAAGAAATGACAAGACAATTGACACTAATTAAGCCGGATGTAGTATATGGTAATTCTATATAAAAATAGTATTTTTAGATTTAAGGCTTTCACGCCCGCATTTGTTGAGAAAAACTGATGTTCGCTGATTTACCTCCAGCATCAGCAAACAGGAACTAATAAAGGCCTGAATTAACACGACCAGCATAAGAAATAATCACAGCACAACCAAAACTCAGTTTCAGTTTAATCTCTGAATATGTCTTAAGTATTAAGAGACAAAACGTCGGATAGCAATATTCAATAAACACGGTTTAAACACGAAACTACAGTTTTTCTCAATAATAGTAATCTTACCAATTTTTGTTAGTTATTTCTCTTGATTTTTTTATGACTGTTGATTTTTTTAGGTGAAGTTCCAATCAAAAAATCAGAAAAGGTTAAAGATTCTTTAAAATCTTTGCATTCACGAGGATCTACTTTAAATGTTCAAAATAGCGAAAAAAAAGATACAAGTTGTTTTGGAAAACGATTGGGATCCTTAAAAAAGTCTCATTCTAAGGAAAAATATAATTTTGACAATAAAACTTCTACGTATCCAAAGTCCAATCATAAAAATAAGGATGAAAATGACATTTATGACTATAAATTAAACAGATCATTACCAAGACAACATAAAATGCAAGAAAGTCATATAGATAAATATGTACATAGTTCTTCTGAAAAATGCATTCCCGGTAAATTTAATGACAGATCCTATGAAATGATATTTTGCCCTGAAACTATAAATGATGTACAGTTTGCTCAAAATAGATCGTTGGATGAAAATATGTATTATGATACCACTAAGAAACATCAAAAACTAAAAAAACAAAACAGTTTTAGTTCTACTGATAAAAAATCGAAAATTAATATAATAAAATATGGAGCCAAGATTGGTGATTCGTCTACAAATAAATTAAAATCTGCAATTCAATATACACCAATGTCTTTACCTTTGAGCCAGGATCCAAAATCAAAGCCTAAATTTGCATTCGAATTAAATTTAGATGACAAGACTAGTAAAAGCGGAAAGTTTAACAAAATTCTTGGAGGAAAATCGGATAGCAAAAAAGAAAAAACTTTTTTTGGGTCACCTAAATTACATAGAGCTATTTTCAAGAAAAATGATTCCAAAAGTGAAATTAACTGGCTCAGTAGTTCACCTCCGGTAAGTTTATTTTATAGCTTTTTTGGTGGATCCGTGTGGGGCCGTATAATGAAGGTTGTTTGTGTTAATTTACTGTCAGTTTCGCTTGTAATTTTCTTATAAAGTTTTATTTGCCAAACACGCAAAAATATACAAAGTAGACACCGTTTGTAACTATATAAACCACTATTAAAAACGGGATTGCAGTATTTAAAACTAATTTGATGGAAACTTACAAGTTTATTTTCCTTTCGCTTTGAGCGATTGATATAATTATATAAATCGCTCATTCTTCATAGTTCATTAAATCAATACGAAAATAGTTGTATTTAAAAAAAAATAATCGCACAAGAATTAATTGCTAAGAAAAAACATCACGCATCGCTAAGAGAAATTTCTTAATTATAAAGATTTTTCCTTTGATAAGGATTACACGCTCGACGTGTCAAATAAGGAAAATAAAAAAACGAAAAAAAAAATAATTTCCTGTGTTATTTCTTTGGAAAATTTTAAAACTCGATGATGCACTTCTTAAATTTAAGGTTTGGGATTTTTACAGAATGTTTATTTCGACGTTTTCTATGTTAGGTCCTTTAATTTTTCCACTAGAGGACGTAACACAATTGATAACATTTTTACCAATATAACAGACATTTTAACTGTAAAGTCTAAAAATACCCATCTCTCTGATCACCTAGGAATAGTATTTCAGTTTAATGCTTTAAATAACAATAATGATGTGATAGTTAAGAAACATTTTCGCTCCATAACAATCAGTGGTTAATATATAATGTACAACTACTTACACACTACATTCATTTATTAATTACAATATATGGGTGAGATTCTACAAAAGTTGAATAACTTGATGTCAACAGTCAATAGATTAGGTATTTTAATATTTTTTGGAAATATTTTAGTATATTACAAAAGATACAGGTTTTTTTTAACTTGTCCACCCAATTTTAATGTATTTTTTCAAAAGCACGTTTGTAGAAAAACATAATAAATATACAAAACGTCAGTATCTTGGCGTGTCACAACTTCTGAATCAAATATTTGAGTGATTTTATTTTAAAATATATTCCATTTATCTTAAATTTTTTAATAATAATAATAATAAACTTTATTGGAAATCCAAATGGCTAACGACTTTCGTCTTCCTGCCCAATTACAATTTTGTATATAACAAATACTATATTTTAATTTATGTTCTGTACTTTACAAAAAAAAAATGTTATAATTAAATATATTGTTAATATCTTCATTAATCTTCTGTCAATTCCCTGAGTGAGTCATACAACGATTTCTCTGGGTATTTTCTCCTTGGTGTTGTCTCGAGTTGTGTTTTAAGAATCAAAGGTTCCATCACATTAAGGTTTTCGGGTTTGTTGGCAAATTTTTTCGCTAGGTATTCCAATGTTTCTTGTATGGGTTGTATTCCAGTGATATGGTAAAGGGCTTCATTGGATGGGTTAAATAAGAAATTTTGAGGATGTCTGATTTTTGTAATTTTCCTTATGCTTGTGCGCTCGCGTATCTCTATGTTTGTTAGGGTGGGTTTTCTGCAATTTATAAAAAGAACTGATCCATATTCCAGCACTGGGCGACAGATTAGTTTATAAATGTTGGTTGCCACAGCAATATTTATTCCCTGGTCTTTATAAGTTAAGCTTCTAAAGTGCTTGGCCCTGTTTATAATACATGTCTTGGTGTGGCTTGTGTGTTGTTTGAAGTTTAACTTGGTGTCTATAAAAATTCACAGGTAACGACATGATGTTAATGGTTCTACTGTACTTTGCATAATATTTATTGTGGGCGAATTTTCTTTTATTTTGTGATGGAACAGTAGTAGGCGTGATTTTGACGGACTTGGTAGGATTCTCCATTTAGACATCCATGACGATACCGGATTGGTTAGTTCTTGTAGTTTCACACTTGCTACTGTTGTCGTTTTTCCATGCGTTATCAAAACTGTGTCGTCAGCATATTGGAGAATATAGCTCTGTCTGTTTATGTTTAAGTGGTCCAATTTGTACAATTGGCGTCCCCGAAATGTGAACGGCAAAATTTAATTGTGTAATATGGGCTTTGCATCAGTGTCGTCGGTAGTTGTCAATTTTGATAATAATTGTCAATTGCAATATCAAAAATGCCACCCCACTCAACTGAGGCTCAGAGTTCTGACCTAGGTCAAGGGCAATAGCCAAATTAGAAGAAAATTGGTCTTTAAGTGAAGTGGCTGCAGATTTAAATGTCAGTAAAAGCTGCATATTTTATATCAAGAAACGTTGGCAAGAACAACAAATTTAACAATCTTAAGATTGAGAAGACCTATCAGACAAGGTGTAGGTAAAAACTCCAACGAATATTGAAGACAATGCTCATGTCGCACATATTAGGCAAAATCCTTTCAATAGCGCAGTTAAGGCCCGAGAAGATACACAATTTCCAGGATTTCTTTGAACAGCTCAAAAAATATTAATCTGGATTAAAAAACTGTGCTGCTGCTCATAAGGTTTTTTTAACTGACGAAAATAAGCGCAGGAGAGTCCATTTCACCAATGACTATCTAAATTATGGAGAGGAGTTTTGGAATAATGTTATATTTTCTGATGAAAAAAAGTTCCAATCTTGCAATAATGGAAGGCTACGTGTATATCGTCCAAGAGACGCAAGATTTGAGGAGAACTAAACATTAAGAACCTCAAATAGTGGACGCTTTTCCATAAGGCGTGGATAAGCGTCCATAGTGCGGGAATATGTTGGGAAATTGATGGCTGAGCACTATACGACGATTTAGGACAACGTTATGCTACCTTCAGCTAGACGTGTGTATTGTATTCCAACATGTTGGAAAACTATACAAAAGTATACAAAAATAATTCTAATAAATATTATATTACACAGCTCGCGTGGTTACAGAGTGGGTAAACAACAACCACATAACTGTTTTGCCATGGCCAGCTGAAAACGTGTGGGGTTTTATAGTTAAAAAATTATATCAACGGGACTTAAGGCCAGCAAACCGAAATGAAATACGGAATGATATTGAACATTCTTGGGAAGAGCTTAAGACATTTAAATCTGCAGCTATTTTACTATTTTACCAATTTTCTTGAGCAATATGTTAATTTAGTTATGTTATTTATATTTTTATTTACCTACTTGTTAATATTGTTGTACAAAACCAAATTAACGTTAATTTATTTGTAATACACTCACGTGCAAAATAATCGGCCCACACAAATTTTCGATGAATTTCAATCGCAAATAACTTTTTTATTTGATGTCGGATTTAAACGAATATTAAAGAATATTGTAGATAAATTAATGGACAATCGCTCACATTTAAAAAAAATACTAAAAAATAGACGTACGTTTATAATATACAGGTTTAAACAAAAAGATGTTTTTTTACCATGAGTTTAAGACACTCTGTAGAGTGGCAAAACTGTATATTGTTTTAAATTAAGTTTTATTTATCAAGTCACATCTATTCTTAACAGTTTTGTTTTTGGTTCACCTCGATATATTTATTTTTGTGGAAAATATGGATTTTTTTAAAAAACATTGCAATTTCCAATATTTTTCCTGTATGAAGAACTAAGGTTGCTATGGTCCATCCATAGCCTATGGAGAATGACAGTGACAGTTTTGTTGAATCATCCCATACTTGGACATGTCATATACAGCTTTCAAAAGCTATCAAATTGTTTTTTGTAAATTAATGTGTTAATTTTGAGGTGTCTTCTTACTTTTAAAAATGACTCCGACTGATATTGCCCTTTGTACTTTACTTCTTATGACGTTTAAAACACTTGCCAAGTAATACTGTGACCGTCCATCCTGGATTAAATTAATAGCTCTGGCAACATAAGTCGGAGACATATCCATTTTATAAAGTAAGAAGACACCTCAAAATTTAAACATTCATTTGCAAAAAACAATTTGATAGCTTTTAAAAGCCGTGTATGACATGTCCAAGTATGGGATGATTCAATAAAACTGTCACTGTCATTCTCCATAGCCTATGGATGGACCATAGCAACCTTAGTTCTTCATACAGAAAAATATTGGAAGTTGCAATGTTTTTTAAAAAAATCCATATTTTCCACAAAAATTAATATATCGAGGTGAACCAAAAACAAAACTGTTAAGAATAGATGTGACTTGATAAATAAAACTTAATTTAAAACAATATACGGTTTTGACACTCTACAGAGTGCCTTAAACTTATGGTAAAAAACATCTTTTTGTTTACACCTGTATATTATAAACGTACGTCTATTTTTTAGTATTTTTTTAAAATGTGAGCGATTGTCCATTAATTTAACTACAATATTCTTTAATATTCGTTTAAATCCGACATAAAATAAAAAAGTTATTTGCGATTGAAATTTATCGAAAATTTGTGTGGGCCGATTATTTTGCACGCGAGTGTATTATTGTTTCTTAAAATATTATTAAAAAAATACCGATTTAGGATATTGTTCTTAGTATTCTCCCCTCTATTTGTAACACCACTTGCCGAAGCCAGGAATGAACGAATGAATTTTATGAAAAAAATCCATGACAACCAAAAATCGTTCACATTTCGGGGACGCCAATTGTACATGTCATAACAAAATAAATTATACAAGAACGGTGATAATGGTGAGCCTTGTGGCACTCCTTGTTCTGGTGAAAAGGTGGGGGATAGTGTATTGCCAATTTTTACTTGTATTTTCCTTTGTGTGAGAAATTCTTTTATTATCCATACCAAATAATTCGGGCTTTCCAATTTCACCAATTTTTCTAGCAACCCATCGTGCCATACGGAATCAAAGGCTTTACAAATATCCATAAACAGCGCAGTTGATTTATTTCCCTCTATACTCTTCTGTTGTACATTTGATGTTAAGACAATTAGTGGGTGAGTAGTGGAAGTTTGTCTCTTGAATCCAAATTGGTATATTGGGATTTTATGTCCAATGGCCTGTTCTAATCTATTTTTAATTATTTTTTCAAAAGTTTTTCCG